CCCCCCCCTCCCCCCATTAAAAAAGGATACAAATAAATTGATTCTAGAAACTTTTTTTTATTCCTCAAAAATTTTTTGCGAAGAAACACATCGCCGCTTTACAATGCTTTTCTGGAATACTGTACATAATCCATTGCAAGCGGAAGATTTTTCAATTTCATGCATCCGTTTTAAACCGTTTCCACTCTCCGGGAAATTTATCAAGCAGTTTTCAATTCAATTTCCTTTCATGGTGAGCCGTTTCGTGGCCTTGCTTCGCTTCATGACCTTCCCCGTGATGTTGCTTGTGTTCATGACCTTCCCCGTGTTGCTTGTGGTCTTGTTTGGCGCCTTCTCCCTCACTTCGTGTCGCCGGCAATTTATCCTTTCCGCTCATTCCTTCTTCATTATGCGAACTTTCTTTAAGTTGCGACACGACACTTCTCTTGTTCACACGCACTGCCTGAGCCCGTTGTAGTTGTTGTTCAGGGAAATGTTGCGCCGATGGTACGTTTTGTTGCCCCTGACGTTGGGGATTCACATCAAGTTGGCGGTGTTGCTGCTGCTGCTGCTGCTGCTGCGGTTGTCCTGGGTTCACCAAGCCCTCGTCCCTTCTAAATTGACCTGATTGTTGGCCTTGAACCCCAGCAGCTGTATGCTGTTGTTGTCCAGCACCGCTTTGACCTCCGTATCCCCCTGGAAGCTGTTGTTGTTGCGGATGGTGTTGGTCGCCTTGCCCAAATCCCGTGCGTTGTTTTTGCGCGTCAAAAACTTGCCCAGGTCTCTGGAAATCCTGCTGCTGGCCCCCATGCTGTCCTGGGACACTCAATTGAGAAACGGGCGAACCGCCGATTCCGACGGAAATAGCCGCGATCAGAGCTACGACGAGCAAAAACCTACAAAAAATAAACGTTTACGTATTATTGACAGGCATCTGACACAATCATAACCTATTGAAACATTGACGGGAAATGAATACACATAATGGATTAATTATTTGTACGCGAGCGAGTACTTTCTTAACAAACTCAATTTCGATATTTCTTTCCAAAATTTTTCTGAAAAAATAAAAAATTCAACTAATGTCCGGATCATTCGAAAATGATCACCGAAAATTTTTTGGAATATCTAATGTACAAGCACGATGATGAGTCGACTTTTAATCTGGTTGCTTACTTCACATATTGAAAAATCCGATAAGCTTATTTAATACAGTACTGCATGCAAACTGAACGAAGAGCTTAAATTGTTACGAAATACAGAAGTCAATTCCACAAAATGTCAAGGAACGTGCTGAGCAAATTCTGAAAGTCACTTTTTTAACTAAAAAGAAAAAGAAATTTCGTTTTGAACGTAATCCTCTTCGACGCAAAACAATTTGTAAACACAAGTTCAGGACAATAAATCAAATCGACTATCAGCAAATCCAAAAAACAAACTGCGTTAAAACGCAGCTGACGTATATTAATCATCGTTTATTGATATACGACTGTAATAGCTATTCCTTCTCATAATTACGGTGTTTCAGAGCAGTAACTTTTAACAGAAGTATAAATTGACTACTGTATTTGCAAAGCTTCAAATGCAGTAACATTTTTGGCATGCATACATTAAACAGAAGTCTAAAGCCGTGTAACAAATTAGATAATATGAATTCGACGAGATCAACGTACCTTGCCATTTTGAGTTTCTCAGTGATGTGGAATAGCCCGAGTCGATGTGCGATACGTCAGAAAATCTCACGGAGACAAAAAATGTTTCTCTGTGCGAAAAAAAAATCCAATTTCAATCAAGTCGGACCGATTTCTCGCACAATATTGTATACAGCACAGGAAAAATATTCTCCAATGAAAA